ATATATATATATATATATATATATATATATATATAATTTCGTGTATTAGTATTGCCTTATAGTAACACCTATTAGAACTATTATTTCGATATAATGAATTTGAGAGACTACCAACTGTACGTGCCTTACTCTTTTTCATTTTTTTTAAACTTAACTTCTTGTATATGTTTTACAGAGAGGCTCACAATGCGTCGCGTGGCTAACTCCAAGCTTGGAGCAGAAGGCTCTCGATGCATCTCTGGTGTGGCGCCTGTGCTGTATTTTCCGTCAAAGTCAAATACGCAGCTGACCAAGGATGAACAGGTGAAGAGAAATACCAGTATTGCCATTGAAATGATTAAGCGGTACAAGGGACAAGTACCTCCTCCATACTCCCGGAGGTATGCAACCACGATAGAGCAACTTGAAAAAGAGATTGATGCCTTGTTGGGTGGAGCTGAAAAATTGCGGAAAAATACGACCGATGATCAACCTATGGATAAGCTTACACTAATGGAGCGTTGTCTTCGTCATGCTCTTTGGTCGTACCATAAGGAAGAGGGTAAATGTGACTTTGATCAGATAGCCAAATGGGTTGTTTACACTCCAGAAGACGAGGCAAAATTGGCTCAATTGAAGAGTGAGGTGGAATCAAAAAAAAAATTGGCCGCGTTCAGGAAGCGTTCTGCGGAAGGAGGTCTACCAAGTGCCTTGCTTCCAAAAATTCATTGGGACCAAGAATACGCCTCTGTCATTGACCGTGAACTGGTTACTGCAAAACGTGCCCGATACGACTTGCTTGCAACTCAGACTACAGAATGTGACGATAAACAAATTGACGCTGTTCTTCAAGAATACAAAAAGCCTGCGCAGGATCGACGTTTGGACAATCTGGTTGAACTTCTTGAGCGTTTTAAGCCTGTTCTGGCCCGCGAGGCAATTATGCAGCGTTTAACAATAAAACACCTTGAGGGGCAACTTGGCGTTTGGCGTTACATGGACTGGTGCCCAGAGGTTCGTGATCGCGCTGAGCTGGAGGTGGACATCACCGGCTGGCAGTGGTGGTCTCCGCTGGAAGAACGTCGACTTTTGCCCGTTCGACTTCGCACAGTTAATGAGGTTCGTGAAATTATGACCAAAGCCCAAGCGAAGCAGGCAGCTGAGCAAGCTGAGAAGAGCCCAAAGGCTATTCAATCCGGCAGCTCGGAAAGCGTGCGTGATCGCTTACTGAAGGAGGTTCTTGCTCTTCAGGCTCGCATCAATCAACGTGAGGAGGTTGATACTTCTAAGAGTGATCATAAGAAGAAGGCGCACCATTGATCGGTGGTGAAATTTGTATAGTGAAGAAACATTCACTAGGATTCACGTATTTAAACGGTATTAGGGGAAAAGACAACAAGGAAAGAACAACAGAAGTAAAAAAAAACACACACACACAACAACAAAAAGAGTATAGGGGAATGGATAGCATTTTGAGTGGATATCATTGAATTGGTGTTTGCGGTGTTTGCAATGATGAAAGAGAGCATTTTTGTTGGCGAGAGGCTATACTTTCTTCTTGACACTCTGTAGCCATGTATACATGTGGGTATGTATTTACCAATGGACTATATTATTTATGTCGGTCATCTCACTTTGCTTGTTGCTTATGTGGTGATTTGCATCTAGACTACTCTAGGGTTAATGGACGCAACCGAACTTAAGAATAAAGGCAACCAGGAGTTTTCCGCGGGTCGCTATACGGAGGCTGCGGAGTTCTTCAGCCAGGCCATTACGTTGGATCCTTCCAACCATGTGCTGTACAGCAACCGATCCGCGTGTTATGCGGCCTTGCATCAGTACCCAAATGCACTACAGGATGCCGAGAAATGTGTCTCAATTAAGCCGGATTGGGTGAAGGGTTACGTGAGACAAGGTGCCGCACTTCACGGCCTTCGGCGCTATGATGAAGCTGCCACCGCGTACAATAAGGGGTTGTCTATTGATCCCTCAAATACTGCATGTACTGAAGGCATTACTGCTGTGGAGAAGGATAAAGTTGCTTCCAAGATGCAGAATCCTTTTGCCAAGGTGTTTGGCCCTGATGCCATTGGGAAGATACAAGCACATCCAAAGCTTTCACTGTACCTTCTGCAGCCGGATTACGTTCGCATGATTGACGAGGTAACGAAAGATCCTTCTACCGTACACATGTACCTTAAGGATCAACGTTTTATGGCAACGTTCATGGTACTCAGTGGGTTGGATCTTCCTGGCAGCGAGGAGGAGGAAGAAGAAGAAAGGGCGAGGCAGCAACGCCAGAAGGAACAGGAAAAAAAAATGAAGGAGGAAAATGAAAAGAAGAAGGCAGCAGCAGCAGAGCTGTCACCAGAGGCCACTGAAGCACTGCGCCTAAAAGAGGAAGGGAATGTGTTGTACAAGCAACGAAGGTTTGATGAAGCGTTACAGAAGTATCAGGAGGCTCTTGCCAAGGACACTACAAACACTGTTTATCTCCTTAACATCACTGCAGTTATCTTCGAAAAGGGGGAGTATGCGGCGTGTGTAGAGAAGTGCGAAGAAGCTCTGGAGCACGGCCGTGAGCACCGTTGTGACTACACTGTGCTCGCTAAGCTTATGACACGCGAGGCACTATGTTTGCAGCGTCTCAAGCGTTTCGAGGAGGCCATTGCATTGTTTAAGAAGGCGCTGGTGGAGCACCGGAACCCTGACACGCTCGCCAAGCTGACTGCTTGTGAGAAAGAGAAGGAAAAGGCTGATATTGAGGCCTACGTGAATCCTGAGCTGGCAGTGCAGAAGAAGGAAGAGGGCAACGCATTCTTCAAGTCTGACAAGTTTCCTGAAGCCGTGGAGGCGTACACGGAAGCGATGAAACGCAATCCAGAGGAGCACACGACGTACAGCAATCGCGCTGCGGCATATTTGAAACTCGGGGCGTACAGCCAGGCTCTTGCGGATGCCGAGAAATGCATCAGTCTTAACCCGGGATTTGTAAAGGCACATGCCAGAAGGGGTCATGCTTTTTTCTGGACGAAGCAGTACAACAAGGCTCTACAGGCGTATGACGAGGGACTCAAACATGATCCGGCAAATGCGGAGTGCAAGGAGGGGCGCATGCGGACGCTAATGAAGATTCATGAGATGGCTACTGGTGACTCCGCGGACAGTGACGAGGTGGCAAAGCGCGCCATGGCAGACCCAGAGGTTGCCGCCATCATGCAAGACAGCTATATGCAGCTGGTCCTGGGTGAGATACAACGGGACCCCTCACGCATTCAAGACTACATGCGGGATCCCACAATTTCTGCGAAGATCAACACCCTTGTTTCAGCCGGAATCATTCGTTTTGGGAAGTAAGCAAAATGCTTGAGAAGGTGACGACAAGGTGCATGAAACGGTGTGACAGCATTAACTCCTTCGACGCACTTTGTACCACAGGGATAAACAAGGACGTTCAATAACACAAAGGCTATGAAGCAGATCGAAAAGGAGGAAATGAGAGGATGGGAAGTGATGCCCATCTCTCCCCCAAACACTTTTAACTATTATTATTATTATTGTTTTTTTTTCTATTTACGAATTTCAGCAGCGCATACAAAAGAAGAGAGAAAAAAGGAAAAAAAAGAAAAAAAAAACTACGACTAGTGTGGAGTTTATGGATTTTACTCTTACTCCTTCCCG